GTGATAGGTTTGTGGAAAGGGAAGAGGGAGTAGATTAAGGAAAAATAGGTGCAATTAAGTTTTGCTGGATAGGGGCTGAGAAATTCGAGAAATAAAACAAAATTAAAGTCGATTAAAAATGTAATAACTAAGGAATTATTGGGTATTGAGAGGGAAAAGTTATATGATATTAGATGGGGGATTAAGGGCTACCTATTATTAAAATTTGGAGTGTCTAGGACAAAAAGAAAAAAAAAATTGGGGGCTAAGGGTAAAAAAAGCAAGATTTAGGGTTAGGGGCCTCTGGTATTGAAACTTTGAAAAGAATGCCATTGTGTTCTGGTTAGGACTCAGAAAAAAAAATGTGTGTTATATTCGGAATACCATAAGCCAAGGCGGTAATACATTATCAAGAATCAAAACAGTATAATATAAACAGTGAAATTCAGATATTATGGCAATAATAATTCTTTAAAAATAATCAGACGGTAGATTCAACCAACTGAACATTATAATAGAGGAATACTAAGTGACAAAAGATAATATATTGAATAAAAAGCATGATAAAACAGAGCTAGATACAAGTCAGCACTGTACAGACAAATAAATTCTAATCAAAGTACACAAATTAAGGTGTTAAACACAAATATACATTTTGAAACTGTATTAAGATATCAATAGAACAGCTATTGAGATAGTGACATTATATTAAACAATGATAATAAACAATCACTCATCTTAAAGGCAAGGAATTGAGTCCAAAATCAGTGGCGGGAAGGCTGTTATTGTTTAGAATACAACTGCAATGGCAGACTTTGTCTACGATCGCTAAATTTAAATTAATGAAAATATATTTTGACAAGAAATCTTCATGAAATAATAAGGTAACGCTGAAATTGTTATAAATTTAGATTGAGCAAAATAATCCTACCTTGGCAGGCATGGTCCCGTTTTAATAGGTGATGTAGTATCCAAGATAAGAATTTTTCACAAAATTAACACATTTCTGGTCTTAGGAAAATCCAGTGACAGACCCTTGGACTTAACACAATTTAATGTAAAACACAGCCCCAACTATGGCACCACATGATTTGCGGCAGAAGCTTTTGCGTCACAGGTGCAGCTAGAAGGTGCACAATTTCTAGGCACTTTTTGTGGATTTCATAAGCACATAAAAATGCATGTAATTTCCACAAGATCACTCTCACACACACACAAAGATGATAATGATGCGTAGCACAACACTTTACACTCACAAACATAAAAAAATTTCCTTTGGTGCTGTTGTTTTTCCTGATGAAAACTGTGATTACGCGGAGCTTCGAAAAAAGACTCTTTCCTATTCCCTTTACGACCTTAGTCAAGTGAAATAGGAGGCCACTCTTCGAAACCACCATACCCAATTATTTTTTCATAGAATTTCTCCATCAGGTAATGCTTCACTTGTGCACAGGTGCGGCGTCATGTTGGAACCATCCATTCCGGAGTTGAAGCAATGGCAGGTTCTCAAAAGAATCAGGTATTACGTCTTGCAGAAGTTCTAAATATTGTATGGCCTGTATCGAACCAGGTAAAATAATGGGCCGATTAGACTGTTATTGTAAATTTCCCACGAAACATTAACAGAAAACGGTATTTGAAGTCGAACGTCAGCAGACCATGACAGATGCATTTTCCAGAGCCCAGTAATGGGTGTTCTGCTTATTGTACATTTCATTTTGCCAAAAGCATGCCTCATCCGGCCAAACTGTATCTGCCATAAAATGTTAGCTGGACCTCTATCTGGTTCCTGCAAAACTTCTCTTGGCATCCCCGTCCAATATTTCTTAATAAGGTTTTCTCGCCGGTATGGATAACCACTTAATTCTCTTAGGATTTTCCAATCATAGCTTTTTGAGAGGCCAGAGTTTTCACTTATCTCTTTTTTGCTGTTGGGATATGTGAGGGCGGATAATACATTTTCCAGTTGTACTTTCCGCCGTACCTTAGATGGTCTCCCGGATTGAAGTCAGCTGTCTGTCGACTTACGCAGCCTGTCTCCCTCAAACACTTCACAACCTGTAGGATGGTTTTGTGTGAAGGATGTGTGCCTGCCGAAAAAGTTCCCGAAACAACTGTGCTGCTGATCGTGTCTTACACCTACATTCAGCCTAAAGTAGAACCATCACACAGTAATGTTTTTTTATAAATCATTCCATGACCGTGAGCTTCAACACACAATGACCAGGAGATATCTCTTTTATAGCTGTCTCAAGTGAACAGATGTGACACTTCATACACTGTTTGCACAATGCATAAATTTTGCTCACCAAGCTCCAGTTGCATTGAGTTGATGAGTTCTGTGACACGTTTGTCCACGATATGCATATTATCTGTTCTACTTGCAAAGAAAATCAGTACAATAATGCACCCACGAGGTTAAATAGCAGTCCTCTTGACTGATAGAGGTAGACCAATTTACCCCTGGAGGTTGACTCAAGAGAATTCCTAGGAAGTACTTACTGGCTAGGATCTGTACTTAGGCAGTCTCAACTACGAGGGTACATAATCAGTCTTCACAGGACTACAGGCTCCATTTATTCGGGCTTGGCAGGGACTGTACTGGTATTGTTGTGTCTGTTCCTTCGGCTGCTGTGGAGCTAAATCGGAGATAACTGACCAAGTCCTCGGGGTTTTGAATCCATTCAGTTCTCGTGATGAGGACTGACAGAGCACCAAGTAGACAAACATGGAAGCCGACGGAGTGGTGCCTGGAGGCAAAAGATGGCTAGTGTATTTAAATTTTGCATCGTACATTTTGCTAGTGTTATTTATGCTTTGTATAAACCCAGACAGGGACTGCGGGGATTGTGCTTGCTTGGACGAGGGTCTCTTTTCCACAATTATCACAACCCCGTAAGACTAGTAAAAACCAGGTCGGGGATCTATGTCTAGCATTCAGTCCTCTCGGCTGTGAATTACCAGCAATACCACTGTGCTACGATACAGACTCGTTTTTCATCTGAAAGATAAAGTTTTCTTTTGCTCAAGTTTTATGACATCACAGTTTCGGAAATCGTGGAAAGATTTTATTATTACATCAAAACCAGACAGGGTTCCCTCCACAATCTAAATTAGCACAGCAAACATTTTATTATAAAACTGAAGATCGTTCCTTGTTATCATCAAATACATCTGCAACAATGAGTCAACTGGACAGATAAATAGGGATTTGTGGTTCTTGCTCAGCATTGAAAGGAAATCCTCCTTAGAAGCTCGTAAAGCGGAGCTGAAATGACATAATGAAAAACCTCCATCCTTTATATGCTGCTACCATATAAGATTGCACGATGAGCAGTTAGCTGCACTTACATTGCAGGTTTGTGCAGGGCCCACATCAGCAATATTTATGCCAGAAATGTTACACAATCGATTGTGGCATTTATGTGAACAGAAGGCAAGTTGAAAGTTCATTTTTATTCACTTGCTCAACTGAAGATGCTCTTGGTGCAGTGCACTGAAATTACTAAAACCAGAATGTTTTTCAAATGTAACTCATGTTTAGCTGAACACATCCCCACATGATGACACACAAGAATCCTTTGCTAAAGTGTGCATCCAAACTGAAAACACGTAGAATGGTATTCCCAGCATAGAATTAGTTTTTATATCATCATTTTTCACTTCATAAAAAGAAATTTTGCATTGTTACAGAAACTTGCTACAACAAACTTCATAATAACATCCAATACTGCTTGAAATATGTGTGACCGTTGTGATTAGTCAACAGTGTTCTAACATAACAGTGGCTTCAAGCATTCTGCGTTCTTTCCTAAATTTTACCAATGTGCAAAGAAGATATTCAGTTATATTGTTTCAAATGATTAGTTATTTTGAATAGTAAAAAATCTGAAATAAAGAAAATGCCATTGCTATACTGTCTGCTATATCAAAGGGGAAAATTTAGATTATAATGTATGCAATCCTGCTGGTAATTATAATAGTACACGGATTCAGAATTTTAGAAATGTGAACAAACTTCCTTTTTGAAATCCTTAATGGCTTCTGTATGTTCAAGATCTGTAAATTTACTTTGATGTGTGTACTGAACTTTATAAAACTGATATTATGAAATTCAAAGATAGAGAAAACACCTTTATGAATGTTTTTTCAACTGCATGCAAAATCAGAATTAATACGAAACAAATTTTGGCATTCCAGAGAGTATCTATGCTAGATTAAGCCAGCAGTGACGATGAAAGGTATAAATGTAAATGGATGTATACATCTGTTAGGATACATTACTCGCATGGAATGACCCTATATTCAGTGGCTGCTATGCAATCATTTACATCTGCATGGCTACATACTAATTAAACAGCTTGAATTAAAAATGTTATAAGGACTTTGTACTCATCACTTTTTATTGTTACATTATCTAAAATAACAACAATAAATTATAATATAAAATACTATATTGCCACCAGACTCGAAATAAATAATACAAAACTATAGGTATTGATAACTTCAGAGTGGTAATTATAACCAACAATCATCATCTTGTTTCACACATTTTACTGCAGTATTTTATTTCATAACTTATGCTGTACTTCCAGACAGTGCCAGATTTATGTATAAGATACACAAGCTATAGCTTGTGGCCCAAAAAACTAAAAAAAAGTGGTGTATTTAATTATGGCAAAGCACACGAGGGCTATCTGCCTAAGGGGAGGGATGCCTTTCGTGGAGGACTTTCTAAGGGAAACTGGCTCGTATACACGTTACACATGGGGAAAACCACGAAAACGCCCATGCAGCCAGCCCGTTCGCGGGATTCGAACCTCAGACCGAACTACCAGTGTTCAGCGTCTTTACCGCTCGGCCACTGGCGGGCCTAAAAACTAAAAAAAAAAAAAAAAAAAAAATAGTATAAATAGCATTCAAATATATTATAACAGACTGAGTAATGGAAAGGAGAGAAAAAAAAGCTAACTACATATTAATTAAAAATTAAATTTATTAAATTCTTAAAGAATTTTTACTTGAAAGAGCTATATACATTTCCAAATCACAATCACAGTTCTACAGTTTCATTGCTACCGTACAAATGCCTGTTGTCTTTTAGTATAATTGTTTTCTGTGGAAATCCATCTAGATCAACAAACAAATATCGGTATTCATAACTACCTTTTTTACCCTAGAAAGGAAAAAAAATACAAAAAAAAAAAAAAAAAAAGTCAATAAAGGGAAAAAATTATGATTTTTCATTTCCTCTTAGTCCACTTAAATTTATCATAGAATACATTTTCTATATATCACACAACAGAAGATATTTATATGCTGCAAACTTTTTTACAATGCATTCAACCACAACATAATGTCCATGTCCTTCTAGTAGCTACAGAAGGTGTTGATACATTTTTAGAATGATTTTGATAAAGAATTCTTTTAAAAAAAGGTATTAGAATAAAAATTTCTGGCAATAGCTTATTATTTGAAATGAGAAATACCGCCTGCCACGCTTACATTTATTCTTCATTCAAAATGTCGAATGTAAACAAGCTGTGGATTAAGTATTTGTTTTTGAGCTTTCCAAACAGAAATATTCCTTTTCTGCAATTCAAAAACGTTGTAAAACACATGGTATTGAAATTTCCAAGTGAAAATAAGGAAAATTATTAATCAGAGAGTGAAAAATCGTCAATTATTACTTCTAATTGAAAGAAGTCTAATTTCCTCCCCCCCAAAAAAGTAATGTTTCTAAAGTTAAATTGTTGGTAACAAGAACTAAAAAACATAATGCTCACCAGCTTTTGCTGAGACATGTGGCTCAATGAAGAACAATTTGTAGAAACCTACATGAAAACTATTTAGCCGGAGATTAATCGAAATGCATAGTGACCCTTGATTGAGAAGGGATCTACCTAAATGACTGCAACAAACAATGGTCTTTTTATTATCGAAAACAAAAAGAAAAAAATTACAAACCTGGTTACGTGGATACAAAGAAAGTTTCAGTAAGAAGTTTATTACTGTCATAGGATTCTCTTACATTGGTAAATTAAAAATAAGAAGAGTGCAAAAAGATAAAATCAACTCAGTACAGATTGAAATTTAAGTCATATTTTAAAAGGTACCACTGCATTCCTTGGAAAAAAAAAAAAAAGACGACTTATACAGATATTGCACATATACCTTTTCATTGTATTCCTGTGAAGTACCCTGATGGACTGAGCCTTTGGTCTTTTGAAAAGAGCTCTTTCTAGATAGAAGCCCACAACAATGCATAGACTAAGGAAAATAGTAGAACAGGAATGGAAATGAATACCCCTGGAAATATTACAAAAAGCCCTTCTATAATGGAAATCGAGACGCAGTCCAGAAAAAAGGCTATCATATCGAACATTTAAAAAAAATATTCTTTTCATTTTAGATGTCAGTTAAACGGCCCTAAAATCACTCTAAATATGCATTAACACCCTCTGAATTTTACAACATATTCGACATATAAAATATTCAAACATTAAAAAATTTTCTAAAGCATATGTTTGTTATGAACCAGTTACTTTTCAATAGTTTCATAAGAAAAGATTAAATAAATTAAACTTCTCATAAGACATTCTTAAAATAAGGCTAGAAACTACTGAATGGAATTTTTGTACTTTAATCCATCCTGAGTTCCACTACTCAAGTTCTTTACCTTCACATAAATTGAAACATGATAAAAATACAGAATACCACTCTACAGCATTTCATATCATGTCATAAATCCATAAAAAGAAACTAGTTATTCTAAAATGGTCTCAAATAGAAGAATTACAAATGACATATTATGTAAAGATTGGTAACAAATTATATGTCTGGGGGGGGACACAAAAGAATGTGTGAGGATATAGATTATGACATGGAAGTTGTCTTAAGAAATATCATAATAATAATAATAATAATATAATCCTTCTTTTAGTTTATGGCATAAAAAAAATCTATGATTTAGTCTTTTCATATCTTTGCATCACATTATATTACATTATTACATATATGACCTACGCAGCCTAGCATATTGTCAATTCTGAAAGCTGCTACTAATCTCATGATACAATATTTAACTTCATCTTCTCAAGAAAATTCCCAATTCTAACAACTGCTGTAAATTGTATGGATGAAGATCTTTAATATTCAAATTAGCATGGCACTTTTCAATGCACCTATCTTTGCATATGATAATGCATTGAATGTGGTAGATTGTTGACAACAATGACATAACATCACTGGAGGAAGCTGCATAACTTCATACACTCATGTCCATAAATTAAGGATAATGCAAAATCAGGCAAAGGAAGAGTTAGTAGCAAAACAAATTTGACTTATTTGTAAAGCTTATTTATTAAACAAAAGGTAAAGAGCAAGAAAAGATGCTAGATGTTTGATATTATTAAAAAAAATAGCGATTTTTTCTCCTCGGAGCAAATTAAAAAAAAAAAAAAAACTATTTACAAAAAACCAATATTACATTTTTGGTATGATTGCTAATACATTGTATGTCTCCCAGACGATGCAATACAGTCCGTACAATGCCTAGGCATGCTGAGTATCAAATTATTGATCTGATCTTGGGGGATATTACACCACTCAAAAAGCAATGCTCTCCGAAGTTCCGGTAGACATGTAGGAGGAGGTTGACGGGCTGCAACTCGTCGGCCAAGCATGTCCCACACATGCTCTACTGGATTCAAGTCCGATGAATGGCCAGTCCATACGGGTGATTACTCCGATTGAAGGCATTCGCTTACGATGTTTGCATGGTGAGGACGGTCATTGTCATCCAAAAACACAAATTGTGCGCGCATGGCGCCCCGAAACAAAAGTACATGTTGTTTCAGAATGACGTCCCGATAGATGTGGCTTGTCATGTTTCCAATTTGAACTTGCAGGTCGGTTCTGGAACCCAGAATAATTCCAACCCAAGCGAGCACTTTAGCACCACCGTAAAGGTGTCGTTCAATGATGTTTTCTTGGTGGTAACGGGTACCTGGAGCTCTCCGTATGAAAGCCCGGCAAGAATCATACTGCAAGCTAAACCTGGACTCGTCGGAAAACATAATACAAGCCCACTGTTGCGGTGTCCACAATGCATGCATTATACTCCAGGCTAACCACAGACGAAAGTGAGTTGCAGTAAGTGGAACGCATCTGACAGGTCTACGAGCATATAGACCAATCTACCCTAAGCGTCTGTACACAGTCTGCCTTGAAATTGTCGTACCAGTGGCTGAAGAGAGCTGACGAGACAGGTCTGAGGATGTGCTCCGCCTGTTTCTTCTGGCAGTAATTGCCAAATACCGGTCCTCATTCGGCGTTGTAACTCTGGGGCGACTTGTGCTGTAGTGTCTACTCACATTACCATCATCTTGGAATCGTTGCCAAAGCCTGGAGATGACACTCTGGGCCATTCCAAGTTCGTCTGATACTTCCAATTGGGTACGCCCACATTCCAGACGGCCGATAATTCTACCACCTAAAAAATCATCCAAATGCGTCCTTTGTGTCATAACTATTCGGTTATTGCACTGAAATGCTTATAAAGCGCCTGCGAACAATTTTACTTCTTTGCCTGTATTCCTTCACTCTCTTACACTCTCGTCATTGTGACGTACCATCGGTGTCATCTGGTTACTTCCTGAAATTTGCATGATTCTTGAAGACGTGTGTAGTGATTTTACAGGTGATATATTTATTTTAGAGGTTGATTTCTGCGTGACTCCGAATTATCCTTAATTTATGGACATGAGTATATTTTACAGCATCTTTCAATTGAAAAATCTTATGGATTTGATGTGTATACCTTAAGTTTCAGACAACACCAGAAGCAAAAATTCACTGAGGTGAGGTCGGAGGATCACGGCGGCCATGAAACTGCAAAGTTATAGGAGATGACTCTATCTTGAAATGCCGTATCTGCATTGAAATGCATTGAAAACTTATAATTCCAATAAATTTCCCCCTCTGTCTTGTTTTGTTATTGCTTTTTACAAATGCTCTACTTTGCAAATGTTTTATGCCAGAAATTTTCCTCACAAGTGTATGGTTCCAATGCCATTTATGGGTTTTCAATATGCTGATCAAAATTTTGGAGGAAAAAAATGGGTGTTGCCATTCAAAAATTTCAAAATTTTTGCATATACCTTTAAATAACAATATCTGAAATTTTATTTCAATTGGTTGAGCACATAGACTGGTAGAAATTTTTTTATGACCACCATGTCTGGTAGGAGTTCACATATTGGGGAAATTTTTTATGACCACCCTGTATGGTAGGGTTCATATATCGGTGAAATTTTTTTATGACCACCCTGTATATTTACAGTCAAACCCAGCTACAGCAAATGCAGTTCATAACAAATTCCCCCCCTGGATATAAGAAATGATCTTTTTGGTCTCTTCTAACTTCCTTTTAATTTAAAGTTTCTTTACATGGCTATAGTGAACTTCCAAATGTAAGAGATTCGGATATAATGAAATTTTATACCTTGCACTGAAACCTTTTTCTTTTTGTAATTTTCATAATTTCTTCCACCATTTCTGCAAATTTTTACTGAAGAATTACTAGCTAATTTACTTGAAATAATCCATTTTTTAATATGTTAAGATTCCTAGTCCAACTATGTTACTGTTCTTTTATTTTCATACCCAACTTTCTCTTGTGGAGGTAGTGATGGCAATGCACTTGGACTAATTAATGCCATCTACAAAATCAGTAAGGCATTTCTGACCTTGCATTCTTATGTCATTTTGAGTCATATGTATTCACCCAGATGACTGAAATGTGCAAAATTAATTTTTACTTCATTTCATTATAACAAAAAATTATCCAAATAAACAATTAATACTACTACAGTGAATGATTCTTTTAGCATACATATTTAAATCTGAATCTCTAGTAATCAAGACAAGTTTGTCATATTGGAACTCATTAAACTAAGACAAAAATGTTTCCAAATATTACACAAAACTTATGCTATTGAGAAAATTTTCAACGTGAGTGTGCTTAGTATACTAATTTTTTTACAATTCAAAAGTTGATTTCATGGATTATAGTTTAAAATAGATCCCAAAGACTTAGGCAATGTACACATTTTCATGGCAAGAAAAATCCTTCACCCATAAAATAAGAGATTTTTATAATTACAAAAAACCATA